CTCCCCAAGTATTATTTTGTTTCCTATAAGGAATAATTTGGTTCGTGACTGCTCTATCATTTGTCATATTCAGCTTTTTCCTTATAAATTTCCATTTTGTTGTTGTTGCCTGTAGTCATGTTATCGCACCTGTTAAGTGTGAACAGAAATCTCATGTAATCAGCGAAGAACCAACCCTCTCACAGCCCCGAAGTATAAGGTAATTCTCCGTAACTTAAATAAGGAGCAGGAGGACATCTTTAGCGACAAATCGACCGGATTTGAAGTCAGTGATCGGAAGAGGAAGGAGTGATTGATATCACAAAAATTATGACCAAATCCCAGGTTGCTGATCTGACTTTCTGCCTCATTTACACACAATTACAGGGTCTCAATTGTTTCTCTTCCTATTGATAAGGCAACATACATAATGTATCTCGTTTCTCACTTGATTTATTTATTATTTTTTGATTTATTTAAGCTTATTATTATTATTATTATTATTATTATTATTATTATTATTATTATTATTATTATTATTACTATTATTATTATTATTATTATTATTATTATTATTATTATTATTATTATTATTATTACTATTATTGCTATTATTTTATTATTTTTATTCTAATTTTTATTTTTATTTATTTATTTTTATTAAATCTTATTACAATTATTATTATATTTTTGCCCCAGGCCCTGATGTGGGTCATTGACCTGTGCTAAAGTGGGCTAATCCCATAATACATGTGTATGTATATTATGTATGTTGTATGTATGCCATGTATGTACTCTATATATACACATTATTTCTCTAGTCAGTAGCGTGTGGCAATGCCCCTGTTTCATGTCACCACACGCTGAGATAAATGTGCCTGGCGACATCTGGAAGCTGCTAGTATACCACTTACCACATGTCGCCCGAGAGGTCAGAGTGAGGTCAGTTGACCCTATAGGAGTGTAAGGACTACCTGCGCTTGTAAGCGCACCCCTGTATATTTCCGTTAATAAGAACCTACAGAACTCTACAGGTGTTTATGTTCGCTCCTGTAGTTAGAACCAAGTACCCCGAACATCTCCATGGCGCAGTGAGTATCAAGTGATCGATTAAGTGGAAATAAGTGCGTTCATGCAAAATCAAGGCCGGTAGACCTCCTCTGTCAACTCCGTCATCCGTCGCCATTGTCTCCCACAAAAATTCGTTTGAATTGCCAACGAGTTTTGAGCAGTGTGCAGTGACCGCAATTTCCTGTGAAGTGTCTTTAAGTGCCCCTCGTGTGTGTGTATTGTTAAAGTGTGTGTCCTTGTTTTAAAGGATTCCCTAAGGTGGAAGGCTGATATAGGGCATTCTGTGAAGAGTCAGCTCGACCGTCCCGGGCTGCCTGGAGGGTAACTACCCCCACTGCTCACCCCCCACCGCCTCGCCTCGCCTCCCTCCGCGCTCCACCGCGCCTACACACACCAACCCACGCACTAACACACTGACCGCGGTCAACATGTCAGCCCTTCATATACGCTGGTTTGCATTCACGGATTTGCAAATACGCGGATTGCCGCTCATAACCTCACACACACCATAGCTCCTCCCTCCTCCAGTCAGTCTCGCTGTAACCACACTTGTGTTGACATCAGCATTGTAGTTTCAAAATATTACATTTCCGTGAATGTATTATATCAAGCACAGTATGAATAGAATATCACTAATATAAAGAGTATTTTTAACCGAAAACTACTAAAAATGAATAACATCTCTTGAACATCGGAAGGTTGAGTAAAAGTCTCTTGTTTTCGTCATGTATTTTATCCTAATTTACATTGAAATACACATCACGTTTCAGCAAAAGTACTATTTATTTCTGAGAATATGGAAATGTAATATTTGCTGAAGAATAGCGTGCGATATTACAGTGGAAATGGCGAAAACAATGACTCCTTTCTTTCGCTCAAAAGATGTTACCGTAATCGCCTTTCGAATGGTTTTCAGTTAAACTTTATTTGTATTACAATAATATTCTATCCTAATTCACTTAATGATGCAACAGTTTTTAACTGAAAACCATTCGAAAGCGATTACGGTAACATCACTCTTTTTGAGAATGACGAAAGTCATTGTTTTCGTCACGATTTTGTCCCACATTCCTGTATATTTCCTTAAAAATATTTCATTTCTGTGAATGTAGTATAT